CCCTCACACCTACCTCAACCTGCTGTCCACACTCTTTTGAATACATCCCAGGATACCACTGGCCCACAAGGGCTCATTGCTGGCTCATGGTCAACTTGTCATCCACCAAGACTCCCAGGTCATTCTCTCCAGAGTTGCTCTCTAGTAGGTCAGCCCCAAACCTGTCCTGGTACTTGGGGTTATTCCTGCCCAGGTGCAGTACCCTACGCTTGCCCTTGTTGAGTCTCATTAGGTTTCTCTCCACCCAAGCCTCCAGTGTCTGTTCCATTGTAAAATTCTCTTGTTTCCTGTCAAATTCAAATATGTACATCCCCTGCTTCTGATTCTGTAAAGCACATGACTTCGTTTTCAAAAAAAGAAGCAAAGATTAAAAAGGACTTTTTCTTTAAATAAAATGTATTAGAAGTTACAAAGGAAAAACATCATTTTTTATCGTTTCTAGATGTAGCCCAGAGACAGATTTTTCTCTCCACAAAGGAGAAAATTGAATTATTCTGAGTGCTTTCTCTTTCCTTCTGTTATCCTCTCAACTTTCTACAAGCAGCAGAGCAATCATTAAAAAAACATGGAGTCTACAAAAGAAAGGGAAAAAATAGACCTTGTGTAAAGCTAAAAGAAAGGTTTACTAAAAACATTGGTTATACTTTTTTTCCTTCTCCCTTTTTGTTTTCTTTTTGTTTTCTTTTTTCTTTTTTTTTTTTTTCCTTTAAGCCAGAGAGACTCACCCAATAATAGAATCTGGAAACAGAACACAAATCCCATCGAAAAGGCAGAAAATGTAATGATGTTAAAGTCTAATGTTTATGATGCCTCTCAGTTAGTGAATGGTGGCAGTAGCAACTCTACAGCAACAAATACCATGTAAGAAACTATTTGTTAGTGAAGGGCTGCTGCAGAGTGTGATATATAAATATAAGTGCCCTTATTTGCAATAAATATTTAAACATTCTATTAAAAAAAAAAAAGTAAGGAAACACAAACTGAGGTTCCATTACCATGATTTGTTTTTAAAGAAGCTAAAATTATGTATCATTAAGCTGGCAAACTGTAACACTGAGAAATTGTTGCTGGAGCAATTCTTTCCTCTTCTTTTTCTTCTTCTATTTTTCTATGAGGCAGTGCTTTCTACCACTTCACATTTTTTGTAAGCTGTGATTTTTAGCAAATACATACATGATCACATCCAAAAAAGGGATGCGGGTGAGTAAGATGCAAGCAATAGAGGAGTTAAATTCTCTGTTGTTTAAATCCTCATAATTAAATTGATTTCCCCAGAGTTACATCACTTTGCCACTGCTAAGAATCTGGCCTCAGAGTTTTAATACGGTAGAGGCAGAGCAAAAATTTTCTGTGCACTCTGAGAAAGAATTAAAAGAAGTTTTAATAGCATTCTCCATCTTTGCAGCCTCACCAACAGTCGCCCTAACCTTAGATGAAAAGAAAGAAATGCATTCTCACAATTATTGTAAGTTGAAAACTAGAGGGGAGAGGAAGAGAAGCATGTGCTTCTGTATCTGTAGGAAGGGTAGTTCAGCGCACAGGCTGCTACTGTGGTTGCCACAGTCCTGGATTCAGCTCTGCTTTGTGCTGCAGAGAGTGAAGTATACTGAGTGAAAGCATGGATCAAAGCAAAAATTTAGACTAAATTTAGATCCAGTCTTAGTCACCTGCTCCTCTTCTTCCCTCTGCTGTATGGGATCTTGCCTCCTACACTGGCAGCTACCTTCCCTGTGTAGAAACTGGGCAGAGGCAGGACTCCAACCACTAGCTGCCAAGACAACCACACAGCAGCAAACATCTGATCCTCTGTTCTGGCCTCCAGTCATGCTACTCTGCACTGTGATCACAGCACTCAGACCTTTCCAAGCCAGACTTTCTTCTTTCTTATTCTCTTATTTTAATATATAGGTAGAAGAAGAAAAATACAACCCCACCTCTCACAAAATAGTCATGTGGAAGAAAAACTCGGTGTTGGGAGGGGTTTTCGTGTGCCATAAAACCAGGAGGCTTGCTTTCATTCTGTTTTGGTTTTGGTTTTTTGGGGTTTCTTTTTTTTTTCTTTACCAGAAGATTCAGATATCCATTTTTCAAGATGCAATATAGTAACAAAGCAGAGCTCATATCCAATAGGTATATATCCTTCAGATAAGAATGTGCAAAAAGTGCAAAAAGAAAGCCTAGTGAGTCACTAGTCTAGAACATATAGACAAAATAAATAAGAGAAGGAGGACATGATCACAGGATGGTATCTGCTTTTTGTCCACTTAGTGTCTACAAACGCAGTCATGTAAAATTTGTACTAGTAACAGACATTACAACATATTTTTGACCATTCAGTGCAATTAGCTGCCCTGATAGCTAAATTCTGAATGTTTTTGCACACATCTTTTAAATAAGCTTAAAACAGTTTAAGTGAAAAGACTGAAAAGCTTTTGATCAGTTCAGTATATGAGTTGCAATGACATTAGGCTCCTTCCTTCAAAGCCTAATTTGATATGTTACAGGTACCACAGAGAAATCAGCAATTAAAACCTTCAATGTGTGAGGGGGAAAAACCTAAATACCATCTGAACTGCACTGTTTTCTTGAAAAATGAAAAATAAGAGGCTGAAAGTTTTCTTTCTTTCCTCTTTGATGTTGTGTGTCTTTAAAAAATTAAAAAAACTCATGTTATCTTCTGAACAAAATTGAGTACTAGCCTCAAACCCATTCTATTTTGCTGAGAGAAGATATGATTATATGAGTAAATCCAGTTGGGAACTTAATAAGCTTTGGCAGAAAAGGGACTGGAGGAAGGTGAGCAATGCAGCAAGCCAAGAAAAATGCCCAAATTAACCTTCAACCTCCACAGTAACATCTGAAGATGCCAAAGGAAAGTTTTTGAGTTAATTTCACAAGGGTGTAGCTCTCTGTTAGTGAAGGCAATAAGTGAGAAATTACAAAGTAATAGAAAATATATTGTAGAAAGAAGAGAACATTTTAGGTATTTCATGGAAGCTCTTTTTTGACCTCTCCTTTAAGCTGCAGTTTGTAGCTCAGCTTTTCTGTGTTTTACTCAAAGAAGTATACATTCTGTGGAGGACGTCTCATTGGACTGAAATCATCAGAGCAAAGCCATTCCCAGTTGTCATTCCCAGTTCCTATTGTCATCAGTTTTTCCCTTCCTAATTGTCCTTTTAAGGGGATGTCGTTGTGAAAATACTTGACCTAACACCTGCCTTTCTGGAACATTGAAGGACTACCTCCAAAAAGTGGAGAACAGGAGAGAAACCAAAATTGCTGCAATTAAAAACTGTATGGCAATGAAACCAAGAAAAAGGGTGTTTTATATTCTCAGAGAAGAATTAACACCCAGAAATGGCTCTTTGGGACACTGCCATTCTAATAATAATGCATGTTCCCACTTATAGGATAATCTCATCTATTGTTTCTGATTGAATTTTTAATCCAAAGAGAGATTTTTAATTCAAAGGGAGAGTTGCAGATAGGTAGCGTCATTAAGTAATTTGGTACCTTAGGTAATTGTAGAAACATTTTTCTTTTCTATGATTCTATGATTACCTAAGGTACTAAATTACTTAGTGATGCTGCCTATCTGCAATTGGACAAGCTCATGTTTATGAGCTATCATTTACCAGAAGCATTTTTGAGGGTAGTTTGCATTAAAGTGTTTCTCACATCTACTGTATGCAATCTTTGTCATGAGGTCAGGCAGAAAAAGATCCAAGAATTTAGCAAATAAAAAAAATAGCAAATTGTGTATTCTGTCTGTTTGCCAGCTACTTTATATCCACTGATGCTTGTTTTTAAATGCTATAAACAGTTTTTAGGCTTTGCTTTCTTTGTCAGCTATGTGCCAGCCTGCTAGGTATGCCAGGCCCCAAACTATTGCACTAATAGGCAGGAGCTTTGTCAGGATGGATGAGATGAAGGTGCAATTGTCCTGTTCCCACAGTTCATCCATCTGTATCAGTACTGACTTCTATCCTGTTCTAATGTGCATCTGCAATGGCCACAGGTACCTCTATGATAATGGGTTCAATTTCCAGTGGCTGTGGCTTTGAACATCCTGGTTTATTCTCTGTTAAGGTGATTATTGTTACCATAGCTACAGTGGACTGTGCTGTGAAACTTTTGAAGAAGGTAACCATATGAAGCCAAGGTGTTCCCATCACATCCTCAATGTATGCAGGAACTCCAGGGGTGTTCCCACAAGGTTTCACAAGCCAGGTTCCTTCCCCAGGAAAGAATAACCCTTGCAAACAAGGGGGTTTTGAGCGTGGAGAGAGCTGGGTGTGTGCTTTTCCAAAGATCCTTGGAGCTTCCCCCGCTTCCTTTCCCACTTAACGCATGCCAAGGACATACCAGGAGATCCCACAGAAATCTGCATCAGCTGGGCAGTAGGCCTGAATTCCCCAGAGACTTACACAATGTTCTCTGCTTTTACTGAGCAGTTCTCTTTTGCTACAATCAGTGGTTGAGCTTAGGGTTGTTCTTTTCTGCTTTCTGTTGCAGCTTTGCACTTACCTTCATTGAGGCTTCTTGAGCAACAGTGACAACAGAACCTACTTGGAAAACTTGATTTGTCAGTAGGTTGAACAGTTTGCTGTAATGCCATTCCTGTGATGTGTGATATGGACACACAACAAAGAAATAGGTAAAGCTGTAAGTGAATAAGCACTCAGTCTTTATCCCAGAAAGAAACTAACAACTCTGGAGTAAAAAACTATCCCTCATGTTATCGTGTCTGTTCTATCACTCATTTGATCCAAACCAGAACCTCTCCAGGGGTTCTATCATGTGCTTGCAAATGTACTGGGGGTTTTGTCTTAAAAGCTATCATTTTCTATTAACAAAACCATGTACTAACATAACAAGAAGCTCACAAATTTGTGAAGCTCAGAAATCATCACAATGTTAGACACTACTGCATCTATATTTATAAGCACTCAAACCACCCTTGCAAGTATGCTTCCACTCTTCTTACTTCAGCCATCTCTCCCCTGAGCAAGGTAGCTCTTCCATCTGTTGCATCAATTTCACAAGCTGTAAATAATGGGAATTACATTCCTTTCCCATCTCAGTAAAGGTCTTAAAGATCTACAAAGGAAAAACTTGTATTAATGGAGACCGTTATTATCATATGAAAATATTAAAAGAAATTGCTTCCTATTTTGGTTGGTTCCGTTTCCTATCAGAACATAAAATATTTGTAACCACAAAGTGTTGGAAAAGATATTTTTTATTTTTCAATAGCAGAAGCCATAAGCCCTAATTGATTCCTAGTCCCAGTGAATAACATCAGGTTGGGTAAGTATAGGAAACAATAAGAGTGTACTGTAGCTGAGATCAATACAGCTTGCTTTTGAACTCCACAACCAATCTCTCTGGCTACACAGGCTGATAAATAGACAGTACTGCCCTCAGCTGCACACCATTAGCCATGCTTTTCCTCAAAGTGTCAGAAAGTAGAGCGGTATACCTAGCATTATCTCAAAAACAACAAGAAGGTTTTGTCATTCTGCTCAGCTAGGGACACTTGGCTGGCATCTGCATTAGTTGCAAGTGCTATTAGTAGCTCATTTATCTTGATTATTATTCTTCACACAAGTCAACAGTGGCTTTGCAAGTATTTGTGAAAGCTGCAAAAAAGAGATTTTAAATTTGAAATGTACCTCCCTCAAAAAATAAAGCAGCTTGAAAAGAAAATAAATAAGGTTACTGCAAACAAAATAAATATATTAAAGTAAGAGCACTGAGCCTAAAGTATTATAATACGACATCAAAATCCTGAACTGTGCTTTCAAAAATCTGGTAAAGTGTATTTTCAGATGTTAATCTTTTAAAACTACTTTAACATTTTTCCCACAAACAAAAGTGTGACTGTAATAACCAAGTTCCATATACTGTATTCTTTTTTTTCAGGTTAGTATAATCTTCTCAAGGCATCTAAGGCATAGTCATTAGTTTCACACTAACATAACTGAAAAGAAATTTAGTTCACCATCATAAAATAAGAAAAAGAGTTCAAAGATCAGAAATGTAATGGCAAGTCCTTCAAAGGACACATATACAAGGCTGTATATACCGATAGCTTACTAGAAACTCAGCTTCCCCTCCTTTTCCCATTCCCTCTTTGATCTCAAGCTAAACATCAGAACCCAGCTTTTAAAAAGACTTGAAGTGCCTTTCATTTTCTCTCAGCTGCCTGAGGAGCAACAGCTCCCGCATCTTACATGAAAGAATTTATTTCTCCCTAAAAATAACTTTAGTTTCAAATGCCCCCTGCAAAGAGGTTGAAATAATTTATCCTCAACTCTGTGAAGACAAAAGAAGGAAATTGCATGGGTAAGCCTTTACCTACAGCAGGGAAAAAGGCAAAGGAGTCATGGATGTGGCTGGAGCAGTAATGGAACATTTCTTGCTTGTCACTTCTGTAAGAAGGAGGCACAGTTCAGATGTGGCAGCCTTTCGGCCCCTCACACACAGATCATTAACATCAGGCTGAGCTGAGCTTTTATGAGGTATGATATAGAAATTCTTACCCTTCAGGTGTTTTCTGGGTTTCCCTCTTCCCCCACCCCACCCTCCCTGTCTCCTTACTTCCTGTAAATGCTGAGAGCTCTGAGACTTTTTGCTCATTTAAACTATTAATTTTCTTTGCCTCTCAGCTAACATTGCTCAGGGTCAGGTACATAGCATAAGCTTTTGCTTTTAATATTAATTTCAATATTAATTTAACAGGCAAGGTCTGGAGGTTCCATTGCTCATAGACGCACCTTTCTTTGCTCGTTCTCCTTCATGTCATGGCACAAATCAGGATGGAGAACACCTACAGGTGATGAACAAACTTCTAAGCCCAAATTCACACCGGTTAACCAGCCAAGAGTTGTATCCCCATGTGCAACAGAGCTGCTTTGTGGCTTTCAGGGCTGTAGATGCATGAGAGATTTCAATACTGATGTTTGGCCTGGTAGACCAAGAGAATAACATCTCTCCAGTTACTTATATATTCTATTATATCAGTATGTCTGGTGAAAAGAGACCTTCTACCCCAAAAAATGCTCAGAAATCAATAGAGTTGAATGCAGATGCCTGAGATGGCTCGATGCCGTGACATTTCTTGCTTGCTAGCAAACAATAAGACAGAACTCAAGAATAGTTACATCATGCAATTTTTAAATATTTAAAACCAAGAGGTCCAGATTTTTCGTGATTGATGCTGCAAATATGAGGATATGCAAAATGTTTTGACATGTCTAGCTTAAGCCCCATTACACATCCCGTGTGCTTTCTCTCAGAGGTGCATTTTGGCATGAAAGGTTCTCTTCACAGCCAGGAGCCAGATGGACCACTCCATGAGCCTTCACACTGTAAATAAAGTTTGGCCCTGAAAAGACTAATGATTGTAATAGGGACGCTGTTGAAGCAACAGATAATAAAAAAAAGATACATGTTGGTTTGAAGCTGTGATTTTATTAGACGATTAGACTATCCTATGTGAAAATTATTTTACATAAACAGGTAATATGGTTTAAATGTGCCAGTAGCAGATTCTGTGTCTGGGGTCTTGCAGAATGGTTGTCTGTGTAGCAACATCACAAAGAACAGCCTTACACCTCACTTGGAAACTCATACTAGCTGGCCCTTGCTTGATCTTGACCTTCTTGTGGCAGAACTTGAAACATCTGCACTGTTAAAGGAAGCACAATTTCCAACACAAGGAACATCCCACAGTGGGGAGAGCATGAAACCTTTTAGGCCTTAGATTTTGTGCCAGCTGACCTACCTGGCACAGTTTTGAATGTCAGCAGTAGACTAATTGTTTGCCTAAGACTAAAAAGTAGAGCAGGCTGGCACAACAGGGAAGGTGGGCGGATTAAGAGGACCCCAAACAACCTTTAGGTATCATCACTTTGAAGCTGACTGTGATCCATGTATCTGCAGAGACCCAGCCACAAAACTGACCTATAACTTTCTTCCTTCTACTGCAGATTAAAGACAGTGACTCCAACCCAATCTTAGAAGACTGTTTTGAGCCTAACAAGAAAGCTGCCACAAGTGTAGTGTTTTCATCTATCTGTAGCATTCAAGATTCTGATTTCTTCTGTCACATCTGCAACAGCTTTATAGAGAGAACAATGCTATATCTACTACATACTGTAATTCAGTATAAGTAGTTAACTGTTAACATAAAGCTTTGATATTAAAAAAATCTTCAATGTCATTGTCATTTATTTTAGCTGATTATCATGAATTTTTAAGCATGCAAGTCTCATATAACAAAAAATTTAATTTATGATAACTTTTCTTAAAAATAGGGAAGTAATCTTTCAAAACAAATGTTCCCAAGTCACACTCATTACAACTACTTTACAGTATTTATTTGTCTAGTATTTTTTTTTGTAATGTGACCATAAAAGATGTCCAGTTGCCATGCTTTAAATAGAAGCAGTCTTCATTACCATACAGGAACCCATTCAAGCAGACTATGAAGGTCTTCATGCATTACATACAATATGTTTATGATGGATTCCATGCAGCATGGGCATATGCACAGTAGCAAATTGTGTTGATACTGGTGGCTTTGACAATCATTTTAACAACATTGGAAAACTCTGTAGAGCACTCAAATGCTAGGTTTGTTGTTTGAGGTTTTTTTCTTTTAATTAGTTTATCTTCTCATTTCTTTTAAAAATCGTGACACATATAAAGAATAAATGTAAAGGTTTTAATGTGTCTCTCACTGCTTTTCAGTATAAAAATAACTTCTATCACAGAGTACTACAGCAAGTTTTGCAACAAGAAAAGCAACTTAAAGACAAGAAAGCAACTTAAAAACAAGAAAGCAATTTAATATCACTAAAGCCAACTGTGCGATCACATCAGGAGTGGATATGGTCCTTCTAGATGCAGCCTGTTCTGGAAAGATGGGTAACTTGTGAAAATGGCCTCCTTATTAAGCAGACTACTATGGCATCAGTGGCTTACTTGCCCAGGCCCTCTGCGAAGTTGATCAGTGAGGTAGGAGAAGCAAAAAGAGGAGAGGAAACCTCCTGAGCTCAGGCGAGACTGCAGCCACTGTTCCAGCCCTGCAGGCTGCAGTGGCCACAGTCCTTGCTGTGCTTGATCCTGCCTGTTTACAAATCCTCTCTAAGCTATGCTAACCTGGACCTGAACAGAGATGCTGTTCTGTCCAGTCCCCTATTCCCCTGCCATCCCCACACAATTATGAAACTAATAACAAGTGAGGAGAGAATTTCAAGTCTCTGTGATGGTATCATGCCAGATTTGAATACCTGAATAATACGCGCTTCTATTAAGAATTCTGTATGCAATATCATGAGGAGGTTTGCTTCATAGCACCTAGTGGATTTTGAAGAGAGAATTTGTCTGAGTGATTACTTTTGTATTTGTCATTGCACCTGAAAGGAATACCACTCAGTTTTGCAGAGAAGAGGTAGCAGTTTCTTCTGAAGCATCACCTTGCATAGGAGCAGATCAATTGGAACTAAGCACTGTATGTATTTTGACTGGTTTCAAACCAGTTTCTGAGGTGTAAAAGCAATGCACAAATCATCATAGGAGAAGAAAGTGGAATGAAAAGCAGTCTGTTTCTCAGGTATTAGAGATGCAGCCTAGTGGAGATTTCAAGTGCCAAAGTGACTGAGGCTGTGAAATAACCTGTCTCAGGAAAAGAGAAATCTGTTGGAGGAATGAAAACAAACACAGAACATGAAATAATCCAGGAAGTAGACTGAAGAAAATAGTCTGAGCTAGAAAACACTGAGAAAAAAACTGCATTTGTCTCTCACTGTAGGCTTGGCTCACAGAACCCAATTTTTCTCTGTCGTTTTGAAGTGGGAGGGGAAGAATCACATGGCAGCAGGCCTAAAAAGACAGAGGCTCTTCCCTATTGAGATTCATGGTTAATTCTGAGGCGACAATACTTTCAACTGACAAAATCAATGTAACTGGGGGTCTGGTAGATAAAACTGCTGCCTTTCTTGGTAGTGGAACACTTCTAAGTGGAAAAAAACATTCCCTTTTGGGGAACATAGGTTTACAAAGAAACACCAGTGGTACATATATGTAGAAATATGTAGAAATCTTGTTTCCAGACTACATGGCTGCTGCATGAGTTCCAGATATTCTTAGTACTCCTGGCGTGACAACTTTGCTCTCAAATATTTAAGCTTGCCCAAATATCCATGAAGACATGGTGGGTACTGGGAGTAGTGATGTAAACATGAAAACAAGGCTTTGTTTTTATTGCTTGTGAGGGCACAGACCAAGTAACGCAGAATAATTGGTATTTAGTTTCCCTTCTTCCCCTCCCTTTCTTTGAAGATTGCAGGGGCATTAACTTAGCAGTTTTAAAACTCCAACTGGCCTCAGCAGATGGGAACTTTCCTCATGATAAGCAAAAAATCAGGAACTCAGCTGAATACTATATATTGATCAGCTGTTTCTGGTTTCTTTCATAACAAGCAATAGTGACTTAAGTAGGAGAGGTGGTAAGAGTCTCTGGGAGCTACTGTGTAGTTTTAAGTAACATTTCTCTCTCTAGTAGTCTGTCTTGAGGACTTCGATAATGCTCTGCCTCCTTTCTCTTCTCTTTTAATCTGCCAAGAGAATAAGTAGACGGAGCAAATACCTATGTGTTGGATTCATTTCTTGGTTTCTTATGGGAGGAGGAATCCCTTACCTAAGAAACTCACGCTGCTAGCTCAATTTTAATAATGCTTCTATCTCTTACAAACAAATAACAGTCTTTTCCAAATGAAAACAAATTTTGAACTGCTCTAGCAGTGAAAAATCTTGATGTCTGGCATAACTGATACGGTACCTAGCACTTTTCCTATGAAATTAAAATCCTTAGATACTGTGGAATGGAATTGTGGGTGAAATGTCTGCTCCTGCAGACAGAACAAGGCTGCTGGGATGTTGGTTTTGTAGTTTAGGTGACCAATCTTTTAAGTGGGAAGACAAGTTTCAAGTTGGTAAAATCCACCCCAAAAACATGCCCAATCCTATTGCGGGTGGGGTTCGGTCCCGCGACAGACCCAGCGGCACATCTTGTGTGGGAGACAGGACACACACACACACACAAGTGTATGTGACCCACAAAATGGCGTTTATTAAAATAAGAAGACAGTTTATATACAGGGGGATACAGAAGGTTCAGGAATAGAGGTGGGTTTCTTGCTGGGGAATCTCGAATCCTGAGAGCTAGTGATAAGTGAACTTGGAGGGATAGGCTGCATAGAATATGTCTGGTCACGCCAGGGGAAGGGAAAGCTTAGGGAAGAATGGAAGGATTGTCCTGGGGGCAGAGACATGGGAATCTGCAGAGGCTGCAAGGCTATGGCCTTGTAGCTGGGTCCCAAGCAGTTCTGCGCAGCTGCAGTTACTAGGAGACTTCGATAGAGATCTCTTCTTCTGAGCCTTCTTTGTAGTTTTTTTGCATCTCTCTCCACTCTCTGTAGGCCTCTTCTGGTCCACCCCCGACACAATCCCTCTCCTCTAATGTATCTGAGTGAGTGGACAAACCCCATTTGAGAAACGGCAGCTTCCAAAAGCACATTTTTCCCAAGGGACTTTGATAGCTGATCAATTCAAACAAGGAACTACCTAATACAGTAGCTTTATTACTGTCTCCAAAACCAACAGCTTCAACTTATTTATTTGCTGTGCACTTTCCCTACACTTAAGAAGACTTTCAGGGCAGGAATAGGCAATATGTGTATGTACAAAGCAAAGCAAATAATACTATTATGCAAATGCTAGAACA